TGTTTATAAAACCTACCATTTCGTAGAAGAATTTTTTTTACTTTTATTCTAAGTTTGACAATACTGTTGCTAAAAATAAATCTAAGGTCGTGCCTTTTTAAAAAGAGGTTTAAATTTACATGTCCACATCTACACATGCAATTACACGTGATTAGTTTTAATAGGGATGGTATCGTTTATAACGAATTCTTGAAATGGTTCAATTAAATTAACAGGTGGCTGAACATGTACAAGCTCAGTTCGTGAACTTGTGCTATGCGCCAGAAACACGCACATATTCATAATGTATACCTACATAAATTTTCAATCGGGGTAGTTGTAGGGAAAATTAATTGTAGTTGTACATTTGTATATACGTATATACATATTATTATATACATACGTATTTTTATATACATATATATTAAGAACTTTTACGCACAAAAAATTACTTTACACATTATTGGAAAATAAATAAATAATAAATACTGTAAACACTGTTAAAAAGTGGCACTTTACGCACAGTTTTCCATGTAAGAAATTCAACTTTAGAGGTAATCATTTATCATCTTTTTACTGTTATACACAGGTGCAGATAAAAAAAAGAAATGTATAAAAAGAAAAAGATAATTTAAATAAATAAAGAAATGAAGAAAATCATATAATAAAAAGAGGAAGAAAAATAAAAAATGTAATTGTTTGAAAAATTCAAGTACTTAAAAGTAAAAGGAAAGCAATAAAGAAAAATGATTAATAAAAAAACGATGAAAAATGTAAGAGAAAGAAATATATATGTATTTATTGAAATGTCAAATGCTGAGTAGGATGATAGGACATCGCGGATTAAGAGGAAGTAGTTGAGACCTGTTAACGATATACGTATACGCCTTACTTTGAAGAAACAATGTTAACGGTATTTACCGGTCTACCGGAATTCTTGTAACCAAACAGGTCTTCCATCTGGGTCACAACTCGCTTCCTCTTCACCTACCGACCTACCTAGACAGCACAGTTGCATTTTACGCCTTTCGAGGTGGGAGAGAGACACTTTCATCGAATCCTTCTGATTCTCTAATTTATCTGTCGATCAGAGATTTCCCCTTCATAAAGAAAATTTTATTTTACAGTTTCAAAATTAGTATTGACGCAGACATTTTTGTAATTGATATTCATTTTTTCAGTCAGTAAAAGGATAAAGGCAATTTTTCTACAATATGCCATACTGAATAAAAACTGAAAAAAATCTCATTTGTATATTTGATTTTAAATTTTCAAGAAGAAAAAATATTTCCAACAAAACTTGAAATATGGAAAAAAGTTTGAAAAAAATATATAGGTACAATAATTTTGTTTGAAATAGAAAATTTCCACAATTTTTGATTGACAGTTTGTAATTGTCAGTCAGTAAAGTTTGTCCATGACCCAGAAATAATTTGTAGGTCAGGGTCGTGGTAAAGGAATCCCTGATCAATCTTCAGCATTCTCCGGGTCACTGCTCCCATTTCTGAACAACACGAAAAGAACTTCAAACAAATGGGGTGAAAGCTGTTAAAAAAATAACGATTCGTTTGGCCTCTTTCAAGTATAATACGTATACAGAATTCGATGAAAGTTTCCTTTTTCAACTGAATATAATTAACTTTTTTCAAAAAAAAAATAGTTTACGAAAATAATACATAAACTTGAAAATTACTTTTTTTAACATCAATGTTCACATTTATCTATTATTTTCTATATTTACACTTTCAGTAATGCTAATTTTACAAATATTTTTTGATCCATTAATTTTTTTTTAATATTATTCTTTTATTATTAATTTTTTCATTGTTAAATTTTTTTGTATTAAAATTGTTTATAATTTAAAAATGAAGAAATTAAATGTCATCAAATTTGATTAAATTGGAAAATTGAATTTTACTGTTTTAGAAAATGTCATCTATTCTTTTCCTACTGTGCTTTCATTATGAGAAAAATAAAAATGCGGATAAAATCAGTTTTGCACGCTGTCCAGTTACACTTTGTTACTGTCATCTGTCACTTGTCTAAATTGAAGTGATTTCTTGAGAACAAATGAATACATTAAAAAAGATAAAAACCTTAAAAGATCAAAGTCGAAGTTTTTGGACTTAAGTGACCCGAAAACATGTTACACTCGTAACACCAAGAAATTTAAACTACTGTTGTGTATCTTCAAAATTATAACTTTCTACTTGTACTTTCTCTGCAAATTCCTATGGTTTAATTTCTTTTTTAATCAAATTATACAACTTTTTTCATAAACGAAACGAGCATTAAAACGCAAAGGTAGGTCGGTACGTCACGCTGAGAGCGAATTCTGATAATGAGTAATGCTTAAAATAAAAGTTTATTCGGGAATCGTACCTGACTTGAAAATGTTTTTAACTCAAGTTATTCTCTGTGCCTAATTTAATATCCCTCAATTATTATATGTAAAAGATGACCTGTAACTTTGTGTCTCTGGACTTTGTTCACGTTCAAAAATAAAAATTTTTAGATTAAAAATGTTTTCTTTAAAAAACGTGCTTTCCTTTTTTGCAAAAAAAAGTGAAATAAATGCAAACACAATTTGGTAAAAACAATAAATTATCTATATTTATAAATCCAAAATTGGACAATGTTTTTCTGTACAGGTTTCGTAAATCGATGTTGGACATAAATAAAAATCGACGAAAATTGAAAATAAATAATAAATCGGAGGTTCTACATATTTTTGTATAGATAAACTATTTTTTTGTTTCATTTTTGGATTTAACTGTTCTTTTCTTTTGTATTACTGTTTTGTCTGTTTTTTCTCACACACACGCGCATACAGGCACCTAAAACTCTCATCCTCATTATTTTAATTAAATAAATTAAAAAAATATGTATAAATATATCGACGGATAACTAATCCACATAAGGCACATGACATCAATATTATGACGAGAACAATTATTTCTAAAAATAAAGGGTAGAATGCCTGACATTACGTTTTTTTTTGCAAAATATAAGGACGTGACGTGACGTCACCGACCCTACACATTTTAATGCTACCTTTTCTTTCGTCGTTGAAAAAACTATACTGTCCTTTTTTTGTCTCTGGTCAATTCATTTTTTTAAAATTTCATTTGTCATGGATTTAAATCAATTGCGAGTGTATCATGTTGCAAATAATTAAAATAATCAATAAATAATTTAATCGCAAATAAATAAAATAAATACTAAAACACGAAACTTAAATAATCTATATGTCGTTAAACAAAGAGCAGCGGGAACTTTTTTTTTGATTATTATTAAAATATAAATAATCGAGGTAAGAACGTAAATTACTTCCCTTCGGGGCTCCTTCACCCACCTCGTAATTAATTATTCAAAAGGTAAGCATTTTTATTTAAAGTTGTTACTAAATAAAAATTCTTAACTCATGCAAAAATTATAATATAATAAAGGAATAAAAATAAATAAATTAATGTGTTTATGAAATTAAAAAAAAATTCAGTCATTTTAAATGTTTGAGAAATGGAAAAATGTGAAATGAAAAAAAAGTAAACGATTATTAAGAGGTGGGTCAACGTGGCCCAAATTTTCAGACTTTCTCCGCTCCCATTGCCTATTTTTTCCGAGGCGAAAGGATATTTAATTTTTCTGCGGAATAACCAATAGCCGCACCCCGAATCATCATTTCAAGATCGGCTTTTATCATTCTTTCTTTCTTTCTTCATTAAATTTTAACCGGATATATTATTTCGATGATGAAAAATTACGATCAAACATGATCTTCTATTTCAAAAGAGATTTTTTAAATTTTGAAAATTTTAACTCCGTTTTAATTGAGTATTTTTATCTGTAATGTTGTCTTCATTTTTATTTCACAGAATTATTTTTTTTGTTTAAAATTTTTCTTTACTACTATTATTTATATATAAAAAATTATAAGCTCTACATCTTATTCAATAAAACAAGACCTATTTAGAAAAAATTATATTTTTCCAAGTAATAAAAAATTTTTAATTTTTGAAAAGAATATTCATTTTTTTAAATTTAATTTTCTTTTTTTTTTAATTCGTTTAATAAATAATTCTGTGACATTCCACGGGAAAAAATCGAGATATGGCAGGCTTAAAAACTATGATAAATGGAAATTGTTAATTCTTCAAGATGAAAAAATTTGAAGATGATAAATAAATAAATAAATAAATAAATAAATAAATATATATATAAATAAATTTTTATAAATACGTTAATAAATGGACTACAGAAAATATCGATAAGCGTTCATTTCCAAGAACTTTAAAATGATTCATCTTTTGTTTGAAAAAATGTTTACAATTACTGTTTCTGTTATTTACATCCAAGAACTTTCTAATTAATTCAACAAACTTACATCACAATTACTCAATTTAAACAATAACAAGTTTGTAATTGTCTATGAATTTTTGTTGAATCAGAAGAAGCTAATTTTGTATATTCCTGTCTTTTCTGATACAAATTAATGAATATTTAAAAGAAAGACGAGATAAATTTACAACTTTATAAACTTAACCCCTTAAGTGCCATGGCAAAGGTTTGCCGAACAGAATAGATATTAAGGGGTTAAGTTATGAATAAATTTATAAATAATATTGAATTGGGAAAAAATTAGTTCATTATAAATAAATAGATAAAATTTACTTCAATTAACCAAAGCAAAAAAGGTAAATGTTTAATCAATTTATAAAATAATTTTCCAGTCTTTCATTGTCGTATTATTAATTGTATTAATTGTATTAATTGTCAGAAGTAAAGAAATGAATGAAAATCTGCCTCTCACTTCTTCCCGTGCGTGTTTCTTTAAAGCCTCATAGTATGAAAATAATGAAACGAATGTAAATTCGCTACTCTAGAGAGGAAAATCGAATAAAGGGTTTTGTTGAACCTTTTTTTGTGTGCGAAACGTTCTTACTGATTCAAATGGTGGATGGCGGATTTGCGTGCGTGTTTGCGCGTGTTAGTGTGTTTCTTGGTCTTTCCCTTGAACTCACGTGCTTGTCGCGCTTCAGTAATGCTATCGACGACATCCTCTGCATCAGTGACATCATCGTCATCATCGTCGTCGTCGTCTGATTCTTCGTCATCTTCATCCTCATCATCATCATCGTCGTCGTCGTCTTCAATTCCAGGAATTGCGTCATCATCGTCATCATCATCATCGTCGTCGTCGTCGTCATCAGATGATGCAACTGGCGCCGGTGCAGGTGCGACTGCTACCGAATTCAAGACAACCTGATGAGCAGCAGGCTCAAGTTCGGCAAACACTTCGGGAACTGTCGACGCCGCTTGGCCTTCGGGTGTGTCATCCTCGTAAGTGCCAGCGTCGGTTTCATTTGATGCCTCTGATGATGCTTCGTCAGCGGCATCTTCAACAGCAATTGCGTTTAAATCGGCTTGAACTGCCGCTGGAATTGCTGGACTCGGTGCGGCTTGTTGAACAACGGACGCTGCGGGTGCAGGAGCCGCAACCGGCGCCGCTGCCGCTGGAGTCTCATCATCGTCATCGTCATCGTCGTCATCTAAAAATTCCAACAAACATTTATGTAACAATAAATAAATTCTTTATTTCAACAAGCTTTCTGAATCAAATGAATGAAGGATGCCTGAAGAATGCATAGACATATTATATATAAACATAAAACTTCCTCTATTATCTCGTTTGGTCGAACGGTTTTCTTCCGGCTGCAATCTCTTCAGATTATAACGATATGATAAATTACTTCAACATGTTCTACTTTTCAGCGCCTCTGTTTAATACGTCAGTATAAGAATTGACACGTTAATATTTAATGTCTTTGTAAAATTGACCTTTTCTTCGTAAAAAAGTAAAGAAAAAGACAAAGGACGTGAAAATAATAGTAAGAAAAAGAAAAAAAGAGCAAAAGTTGAAGAAGAGGAAGAATAGGAGACAGTGAAAGATAAAGAAAGACTAATAAAGGAACTTCCGCATTCGCTGAACTTGCTCCAGATCGAAAGGAATATAAATTTAAAAGAACAAGAAGAAGTAGTAGTCTTCCAATTTTGGACTGGAAACGACCTTTAAGGTATGTGTGTCAATGAAAAACAAGTAGCGCATAGAAATTCTCGTAGAGGACGACGCACCGAGCTGTCTGGATTATGTTAATTCGGGCAGGGCAAAGCTTCGTGTACCGTTAGATCTCTCGTGGCAAGTAACGAAAGGCAAACACATGTCTCGTATGAGTATAACGGTGCGTTTGTGCCCTGGCTTTGGAATTTGCCATCATCATAAACATAATGCCGCTATAATCCATAGATTTCGAAAAAAGGAACCTCTCATATCCATTAAAAAAAATCAATAAATTTATATCGAATATCTCTTTTTAAAATAATTCTTATTCATATATTTTGCATAAGTCAATTGACATACTTTTTAAAAAAAATCGATATCACATGAGCGATTTTGAAGATAAAATATTAGTAAAGTTGACCAACTTACCTCCAAGAATACCATCAAGGAGTCTGTCAAGGTAATCTCCGTCAGTATCATCATCATCGTCATCATCATCATCATCATCGTCGTCGTCATCGTCGTCGTCGTCCGTTGGGATTAAATCAATATCATCGTCGTCGTCGTCGTCATCATCATCGTCTTCCTCAGCCGCTGGAGGGGCTGATGAAACTGCTGCAGCTTGTCTTCCTGTTGCCTTTACTTCCTCAGCAACCACTTTACTTTCAACTTGTTGTGGTACAGGTGACGCCAATGCGCCAATCATCAAACAGCACAATAGTGCTAACACCGCCACTAACTTCATGGCTCTGTAAACATTAATAATCATAAAAAAATATTTTTTTATTTTCAAAATAAAATATTCTTTTTGTTTTTCTATTATATATTCTCATATTTATGTTTAATATATTATTTGTACAACTCAATGAATCAAGCCTTTTCGTGCATCAGTACTTATATTAATATTAAACTGTTAATTTAAAAAAAAAATTTATTTCAATTAAATCATTTTAATTACGTATGTTAGGGATTCTAAGACCAATTAAATAATTTCCATTATTAGCTATTTTGAAAATAGGTTCTTGTAAATTTGGGTGAATTTAATTTCTTTCTTCTCGTTTTTGAATGATACCACTTTCACCTCAAGTGTTTTTGAATATATAAAAACAAGTTTTTTTCTTCTTTACTGTTATTAGTTTGTCCTACATACTTTCAAACACCTATAAAGTGATCCTACCCTATCCGGATGGTATAAACAAATTATCTCACATTAAATAAAGTTATCCGTGAATTGATGCTTTTTTTATTCATATGACAGTAACAAAAAGATTAGAATACACAATTTTTTATTTTCCACACAAAAAGTTATTGTATAATTTTTTTTGCAATTTGGATATTTTTAAACTTTGATTTAGAATTTCATCACTGTAGAAGAAAAGTGCTAAATTAGAGCTGATTTCAGTATTGAAATGGAACCAAAGGACAATTTAGTACCAAAATCGATACTAAATTAGTGCCTGTCTTTTTATAGAAAAGACTGTTAGGTCGTCCGTAATAACAAATAAATTGATAATGAACAAATACCTTCATTATTGTTAAGAAAAAATTGTCTCCTGTATTAAGTTTTTTTAATTAAAAAAATAAAATTCTCTGAAAGCTTTACAAATTTTAAACAGAAAAATTGCCATTTTTGAGTGCTGCACGGAGAAAAATGAGTTTGCTTTTATATGGATAGCTAATTTTTAGTTATTTAAAATATTTAAAAGAAAGAAGAAATATGTTACTACCAATTTATATTTAAAGGTGGAATTAATTATTACTAATTGAAGCATTGGAAGCAACAAGGGCGTTAGGCGCCTGTTTTGATATTATTGAGTGAGAAAGTTTAAAATATCCACTACTTTTTGACTGAATTTGCATTTACGTCTTCAAAGATCGGTGTTAAATAAATATAAATAGAATTATATAAAATGAACTAAGAATTAATAAACACAATATAAATGAATAGTACATTTTTATTTTAAATGAAAACGATCGTGAAATTTGTTTAATTTCCAAAAAGTATAAGAAAATAAATTCATTTTATTGAAAAGACTTTGTTTTCCTAAAAAAAATTATCACTGAATAGTCAAAACGAAAAATTTAATCACTTTAATTATTGAGAATTTAAAAATCAATAAGAAACAACAATATAAAAAAGTAATATGTAAGCTAAATATTAAGCGAGTATACATAATTAAATTTCTGTTTACAGAAAAAAATTGTGAATTTTTATCTTCTGCTACTTACGCCAAAATTATTGTCTACAAATAAATCACCTACCAGTATTCTCAGAAGAATTTCTAAACAAATTTAAAAAAATATATATCGAAATCCCTTTCTCAACCTTTTTTTGCACTTCAAAAAGTGTCACTTTACGCGTTTATCACTTTCATCACAAAGTATGTCCTTTTAGGGGGTAAAATTGTGATTTAAAAAGAAACTACGTATATTTCACACCGTAGCACAATTGTATAGTAATTTTTAAAATAAAAGAAGAAACACGAACTGGACAAAAAAAAAACGATTGAATTAAGAAAAAAATCCGATTATGATTTTAGGCCGCGAAACTCACCTTTCGTGGCCTCTCCCTCTTGAACCAGCGCGAAGAATTATTCTTAATTATTAATTCCGGACGTCCTGCCGAAGAGGGAGTCGTATCGGAAACGCGTTTTCCAGGATCAGGATCCGTCGTACAACGAGGTGAGAGTGTGAAACAGACGAAGCTCTGTTCAACGACCCTTTTATACCAACTACCTCCACCTCTTTTAAACTCTTCCGCTCTCCTTCTTTTTGTATCTTCAATTCTCATTTGATTCGTACTCTCCACGTGGACACGCGGTTTCTCGCTTTCGAGAAACACAAACGCCCTGCATATAATCTCATTTCAGCAGATCTCCTCGTGCTTTCCTTTCCTCTTCGACATTTTCTCTGTGCGTTGTTTATCAGCAACTAATGCGTTTGTTCTCTGAAAAAGGAAAACATTTCTTATTGAAAGAACAAGTTCAAAATATATAATGAAAATGCAAAATTAAAATTTTTTTCATCTTAATAAAATGTGGTTTTCTTGCTTTACACACACACACACACACACACACATATATATATATATATATATATATATATATATATATATATATATATATATTGTTGAAAAATATTTAATTTCATAATCTGAAATTAATATTGACTTATGAATTGAACGAATAAATTTACAATAATAAATTTTAAAAAGTTAGCAATTTAATGTCTAACATCTATATACTATAGAGTAAGGATAATTTTGAAATTTACAAAAATCACCAACACTGCAATTATGTCTAATATTATAATTATTAATATTACCAGCTAAAATAACGCGCATGTGGTTTCTTCTTGTATGGTACATAAACATACTTAAAAACATTTTTCATTTTCATATTAAATTATATTTTAAAAATGAAAGTAAAAATTATTATAAGCAAAAAAAGGGTTAATGCATACTTATGAGAAATATTGAAAAAAATCAAAAGCATACACAAAAGTCTAAGTTCTGGTATAATTTTACTTATGTAGTTTAAAATGAATTGAATTTTCAAAGAGTTGCGTTTACAATTTTCATAAATAGATGAATATTGAAATTTTATAAAATTTCAATTTTCAATGAATTTTATTATATTAGAAATTTTAAAGATCACTTAGATTTTTAAAAATTTTAATAATTCAGATTCTTCTGAAATTTGTTAAATTTTTAATATATATTTAATTAATCATTAAAAATAGTGGATTTATAGACGAATTTTAGGTACTCAAAAACACTAAAAAAAATTGAATTTGGAAAAAATTATAAATGAATGCATAAATTCAATTATTTTCAAAAGTAATCAAATTCTTTTCCAAAATTCAATTATTTTAAGAATTTTAACAAAATTCTTGGCAAAATTCAATTTTTGAACAATTTTTAATAAAATTTTTGTTCAATTTTATATGAATTTTATTATTTAAATTTTTTTTATAAATTTCTTCGCAATAATTTAATTATTTTCAATAATAATAAAATTTTTTACACAGGGATTGAATTATTTTTATAAATAATAAATTTTTTTTTAGGAATTCAATTATTTTCATAAATATAAAACTTATCGCAGAATTTCAATTATTTTTAATACAATTTTAATCGAATTCTTCGAAAAATGTAATTGTTCTTAACAATTTTATTAAAAATCGTCAAAAGAAATCAATTATTTAAAAATGTTTTGATAAAATTCTTTATGAGAATTCAATTTTAAGAAATATTTAATTATTCAATAAATTATTTATTTTTGCATTTAAATAATTGAATTCTCGTAGAATTTTCTAATAAAAATTGATTTAAAAATTAATTTCAGTTAAAATTTTAGATTTGAATATTTATTATTCAAATTATTCAAATATTTAAATAATAATTGAATATTAAATATCGTTCGAATACAAATATACTGTTGGTTCAATAACATGTGCTATTGATTACACAGCCACACAAAAAAAAAAAGTTCTGATCTGGGGGTCTCACTATGTAGACTTTATGTTTTTTGGGTCGCTGAATCCGAATCCGAGGTCCATTAAACCCCATCAGATCAGGATTTTGACATAACCTCAAAAAACCAATATGGCGGACACATTTTTGAAAAGTTCATCGGATTCGCTTGAAATTCGTTACTCGGGGGTTTTTGGGGTCGCTGATTACGAATTTGAAGTCTGATTTCAAAAATTCAAAATGGCGGATCCAATATGGCGGACAAGTTTTTGAAAAATTCATCGGATTCGCTTGAAATTCGTTACTCTGGGGTTTTTGGGGTCGCTGATTACGAAAATGATGTCGGTTTTTCAAAATTCAAATTTTTTTTTTTTTTCAAAATTTTTTCAAATTCAAAATTTTGAAAAACCGACATCAATTTCGTAATCAGCGACCCCAAAAACCCCAGAGTAACGAATTTCAAGCGAATCCGATGAATTTTTCAAAAACTTGTCCGCCATATTGGATCCGCCATTTTGAATTTTTGAAATCAGACTTCAAATTCGTAATCAGCGACCCCAAAAACCCCCGAGTAACGAATTTCAAGCGAATCCGATGAACTTTTCAAAAATGTGTCCGCCATATTGGTTTTTTGAGGTTATGTCAAAATCCTGATCTGATGGGGTTAAATGGACCTCGGATTCGGATTCAGCGACCCAAAAAACATAAAGTCTACATAGTGAGACCCCCAGATCAGAACTTTTTTTTTTTTGTGTGGCTGTGTTATTGCTCTATAGATTTAAATAAATTGTATGTAATAATTATTTATTTATACACCCGTCTTAAGCCTACAATCTTGGCTATAAAAGTGTTTTATAACCGTAGAAAATTTTTTTTCTTTACAAACATTCTTAAAATTACTTAATACTAAATTTTTGCGCTTACAGAGCGACTTTCAATGATCGAAACTGTTGCTTTTATAAAAAAAAATGTTTTAAGAAATAAACATATCTTTGCTCTCTTATACATCTGAATCTTATTTCAAGATACACTTTTTTGAAGTTTTGCAGACAACATACACAATTTGAGATAGAAAATCACAACTTGACCTAAACTCATAATTTATCACAATATAAACTTAACACACTATTTGACATTACACATGCATACATACAATCATAATACATTTGAATGATGTTGATTTGAACTTCCTTAGGTATATACAAAACTGATGAAATTATCACCGCTTGTGAGAGAAAAAATTAATTTTTTAAGTAGGCATAGGAAATATTCAGTGAAAAAAATTTTTAATAACCTAATTACCTTATTTTATAAATCTTCTTTAATCTTTATTTTTATCATTGTTAAATAAATTATTTTTTTTAGTTTAAGACATGATATTTTTATATGAAATGCAAATTCTATTAAATAGTAGAAATATGTTTTCATATTGAAAAATCATTTCAACAAAACAATACCTAACATCTTTAATTTAAATAAGTATGACTACAATTTTACTGCACGGTACTGTCAATTTTATAGCATGGCACTGTCAATTCTATAGCATCTGTTTTTGAACGTATTCGAATACGCATCTTTTGTAATAACAAAAGCACGTGCTATTGATTCAAAAGCATATTTTATCGTCTAAAATGTACATCTATATACAAACTGTAAATACTATTTAATAATTTAACAAAATGGTATTTAAAATAATGGCAACAATTATTTCAAACTAACTAATATTTTTTGAATAAAATTGTATCAACCCTACATCTCAACCATTTTACATGTTTTATTAGACAACATTATGCTTCTATGTTCTAAATTATGAATTATTATATTTTAACATATATTTTCTCAATTCAATACAGAAATTATACTCTTAACAAAATTAAATTCAATAGCATTGGTGCTATTGGGCCAACAGTTTTTTTCTCAGTGTACGTATTTAATTAAAGAATTTCTGAATAATTGAAATTTCGTAAAATTGAATTGTAATCAAATGGGTTTGAAAATTCTCAAAAAATAATTTCATATAAAAATTATAGAAAATAACAATTGAATTAAAATGATGAAAATAATTTTGACAAAATTACAGTATAAATATTCCTATTATATAAAATAATGATTTTATCACTCGGTTATCTTTAATTTATTATAAAAAATGAAGAAAACGATCACTCCGAGTCGAAGACTCGGAGTAATCAATTTCTTCATGTTTTATAATAAATATTCTTAAAAGTTGTTAAATTTCAAGAAGGTTTGAATTTGAAATTTTTGAAAATCTTGATTCCTGTGGAAAAATAATAATGTTTAAATATTTATTTAAAAAAGAAGTTATTGATGTTTTCGAATAATTTTACAATCGTTTTTAACAAATAGAAATTTTTAAAATATTTTTTCCAAAATAAATTTAAAATTTCTTAAACAAAATTTGATTTACAACATTCTTTTTTACTTAAAACTTGTACTTTGTTTATGAATATTGTAATTGAGAAGCAGAAAATGTGCAAAATATTTTCTACTTTCTAATTTTAACCCTCGGGAAATATACAGGGTCTGTGTGACCCTGTCTTTTAGTTTAAACTTAAATTTCTTTAAAAAATTGTAACAATTAGAGGTTTTATGACCTAAAAGTAATTGTTTTAGGTTCTAATAGTTCCAATGTTCCCCGAGTATAATGCTCCAATCAGTTGTCGCCTATAGATCTCGTCAAAAAATAAAAACCACCTCCATCAACTTGCAAAAAATGCTTCTTTTACAAACTACAGTATAAAATTTATTTTTATTTTATTGTACCACTATATTCAAGAATACAAATGTAAAATAAATGTTAAAATAATGTTAAAAATATTAAAAATTACAAGGACTATAATTTTTTTAAAAATGTAATTTTTTTTGTTTTTCTGAAAAATTCTCTACTTTTAGCATTTTTTTTCTATAATAAAATATTTATAATGAAATTTTTCAAGTATAGAAACTTATTCTTTAATGTTTAAAGACCATTACGATTCTCTCCTATATATTTTTAATTTTAGATGATAAAACCAAAATATGATTTTCATTTCAAGATATCTTTTTTAGAATTT